TTGGATACCAAGTCAAATTTGCATTGATGATGATGAAAAGGCAGACTCACTAGCAAAAACTGCCACTGTTCTACCTGTGTACAGGTTCAAATACCTCCAGGATTTTCACAGATTAGGGAGCAAATCAAGAAGAAAATACTCCTAACTATCAAAAGTCGCCACAGAGCCAAAGTAGCGGTAGGAAGATCCACTGCGATATCGTACAAACAAGCCACTGGGGTACTACTCTTTCAAGCCTGGCAAAAAGATATCCAGAGACATTGCAGTTGCCATACACAGGCTCAGCGTCGGTTACAAGTGCTGCTGGGAGGTAATGAACTCAATAGTTAAAGAGTGTCACATCTGTGGAACAGAAGTAGAGGCGCCACTATTGCACTACGTACTGGAATGTGAAGCGACTGAAGCCCTGCGCATCAAACTCAACATTAATCCAACGACAGCAGCTGCATTAGATGCAAAATCCACAACGACTACAATGGTTAGAAAAGCAGTTGAAGAAAGAGACACACTAGTGAACACTGTGCATCAATATCCGCCTCAAAGACAATATTATTAAAACAAGCCTAAAACCAGTTCGCTAAAACAGAAGTGGAAAAGAAACGGGAGAAAAGAAGGAAACCCCACCTGCATTTAAAACTTTGACCTAAATATCACAGTAACAAGGTTATCGGAAATAACCGAACTCAGTTACAGGCTCACTATAACATGTGCTACATGGACATTTCATTCTGAGTATCTACATCTTAATCAACAACTGCAACAACAACAACATTATAAATCCACTTTCTGAAGATGTATTATAAAATACGAAAGTACTTAAGGAATCTCATATCCTAATCCTTACTTCGTGGTCTGACATTGTCACATTGTTCATCACGTGTTAATTTCTTCGTGATTCATCACGTGTTCGTGGTCTGCAACCGAAGGTTCGAAGTCGTGAGACTTTTAACCCAACCTCCGTCAGCACTCGATTGTCAATCTTAGTGTACAGATATTTCATCGAATCATCTTGCTGTTGGGGCCACGTGAATAACACAAATGCGAAGAAGCTTGAATGGTCTCCAAGCCAATATGGCCCCAACTCATGTGGTCCCAACAGCGAGGTGATTCGATGAAATATCTGTACCCGAAAATTGACCACCGAGAGCTGTCGGGGTTTGGGTTCACAACGCTTCACCATGAAACTAAGAAAGTCTTTCAACGAAACGGCAGCTAACAAAGTGACGGGTGCTCACGGCACTCAGCAAACTGATGGGTGCTAATGGCACTTAAGAAAGTTATGGGTGTTTACAGCACATGAAAGAGTGACGGGTGTTAACATCCTTAAATAAAGTATTGGGTGTTAACGACACTTAAAAAGTTATGCTTTCGTAACATATTGTCTATAAGATAACTTTTTTAAACCTGATGGTCGCAGTCGTCTGGTTTCACACACCTAACAAGTGTGATTTCTGCGAATAGTAAATCTTGTTCAATGATGATATGGAAATTAGTTGGCAGCAACATTAAAACTTTTTGAATACTCTTAGCTGGATTACGTGTTCATTTGGAACTGCTCCAACGCTCCCAGTAAAGTTTTACTCCTCACGCACAGCCTAAATTAAGAAAAATGTTGCGTCATTATCAATATTTTTACAGTTTTTACTTCACGTTTTTAGTTATATATATATATATATATATATATATATATATATATATATATATATATATATATATATATATATATATATATATATATATATATATATATATATATATATATATATATATATATATATATATATATATATATATATATATATATATATATATATATATATATATATATATATATATATGTATACATTCTTTGGGGCACATGCGAGAGAACACAAATGCGAATTTGTGTTCCTCACATGTGGGGATGGGGAATAAGCCTCGGCGACCATCGTCTTTTGTCCGGTCGTGTTGGTCGAGTGGTTAAGGGATCCTGTACATCAGATGCATTGCTTCTGGCAGTATGGGTACGAGTCACTTCTGGGGTGTGAGTTTTCAGTTTCATATATGCCTGGAGACTGTTCAGGCTTGTTCACATTTGTGTTCCTCGCGTGTGCCCCAAAGAATGAGGTGATTTGATAAAATACCATGCCCAAGATTACCAACAGAGTGTCGGCGGGGGGATGTGGAATTAACCTCGGCTACCATCCTCTTTTGTCCAGTCGTGTTAGTCAAGTGGTTAAGGTATCCTGTACATCAGATACATTGCTTCTGACAGTATGGGTTCAAGTCACTTCTGGGGTGTAAATTTTCAGTTATATATATACCCCCCCATTCCCCTCTCCCTCGTCACCTCATCCTCCCATCCATTCAACAATCCCATGTCCCCTCGTCCATCCCACCAATCCCTCTCTCCCCCATCCGTTTGTCCTCCCCACTCTTCCGTGTTCTCGTCCTCCTAACCATTTTCAACTCCGGTCCCCTTGTCCTCCCTACATTCTCCCACTCCCCTGTCCCCTCGATCTATCTACCTTCCCCCCCTTTCCCCATCCCCTCGTCTTCCCCACCATTCTCCAATCCCCTTTCTCCTCTACCCCACCATCCCCAACTCCTCTGTCCCCTCGTTCTTCCCACCATCCTCCCCTCCTATTTCTTCGTCCTCCCCACCATTCCCCACTACCTCGTCCGATGTATTCCCAAATGATCTAATGTTCCCATCAGAAAATTGGGAACATCAAATGATCTGATGTTCCCATCACTTATATATAAGAAAAACAGTTAAAAACGAAATGAAAATCAATGAAAAAATAACAAATTAATCTATACTCACGAAATGAACGGTATGGTAAACAACACAGCTCAATTCCAATGTAATTTCACACAAATTAAATAAATCAAAAGGAAAAGAAATCGAAATCTATGAAAATTAAATTTGTCAATGAAATCGGAACATTGAAATGGAATCATATTATATTTAGTACAGCGTGTTGTGCTCTTACGTGCAACACATGGTGCTTTAAATTTAATTTTTTTTTTAAATTTTGCCCCGAGGGGCGAGTTTATTGGGCAGCGCCACTCATCTTGTGAGTGGACACACCACCATAGCAGCATGTACAACACTCCCCAATAGGAAGAAAACCCGCTGGGTTGTTCATCCTATCACTTGTACCCAGACACAGCTGGGACTTGCTTAACTGTCTCAAGTGAACAACTCCTCAAACAAGAAGATTAACATCTATCAACCCTTGAAAGCTTACGTTATCTTGCGGGTGCAAAGTGGGGTAATTTTTTAAGAACAGCATCAATATTTGACAAATAGTGTTTTCCTAACTCAAACAATGTGGGGTTTATTATTCTACACATATTTCTGATAACTCTCAGGTGTTCACATTCACGTAGATAGTGGTCAAGGCGGCGTCCGTCACTCTCACCACAGATTCTGCAACTTCGCTGATCAACTGTTGTTTCCATTCCATACCTCCAAGGATATTTGTATCCAAGACGAATTCTTGCTATTACTGATTCCCTCCCTCGTCCTCCTCCTCTTCGCCATAACGATTGGGACTGCCAGCTGCAGCCATGTTGTACCATCGTAAAGATTCACTAGTTTGTGCTTCTATCCTCCTTTCCTCAGTTACCTTGTCACGGTGATGTTGCCTGACAATACCTCTAAGTTGTAGTAGAGTCTTGGGTATGAAGTATTCAATATGGTCTCCTTCAAAGCCTTCAGCAGCCAGCACATCTGCTCGTTCATTTCCACATATTCCAACATGGGAGGGGATCCACAGAAACTTGATGACTCTTTCCTGATTGGTAAGTACTCTCACAGCTCTCTTAATTTCAGCGACTATTGCACGATTTTCTGCCCGATTTTTACTTAGGCTTTGCAGTGCTGCTTTTGAATCGGTGCAAATCATTGCACCATTAGTGTTCCGTTCAAGAAACCTTAACGCCATTACAATGGCAGTTAGCTCTGCTTGCGTTGAAGAGGCATAGTTCTCAATACGTGCTTTTTCTTCATTTCTGTGTTGGAAAGTATTATCCTTGATTACTGTGTATGCTGCACCAGCCCTGTCATTGACAGGATTAGATGACCCGTCAGTGTAGATTTGATCTAGTTCATCTCCGGCTTCTTTGCCGGCCGACCAGACGGAATCACACTGCGTCCGTGGAAGGGTGGTAGGCAGTTAGCATGGGACTATACTTGCGTATCCACCCTGGCAACGACATACATCACCCTCTCTGCCGGCACAGCAGGAGCCGCAGCGACACACAGAGAAAAACAAAAGTCAGTCAAATACAGGCAATTAGATCAAAGGTACAACTTCGCTCCAATAGGGTCTGAGACCCTAGGCCCATGGGGTGAGAGTGCAAGAAGGTTTCTTAAGGATCTTGGTTCCAAGCTCATTGACACCAGAAGAGACCCTAGAGCAGCAAGTTTTCTCTTTCAGCGCCTCAGTGTCGCGATCCAGAGGGAAAATGCCCGCTGCATCCTCGGTTCCTGCCCGGCGTCGGAGGAGTTCGAGGAAATCTACAGCCTCTAGGAAGCGAACTTTTTCTTGTGTCCTCTTAATGTTCATCTTTTGTATAAAATCAGATATGTAACTGTATAACCTTGCATAATAAAGTGTACATCATAATAAAAAAAAGGGGGTGGTAGGAGAAGTAAACACTCTTTCGTATTCAGAGTTAAATGGCAAGTTTTTCCCTGAGTGCTCTGTGTTCCCTTCTCTGAGGCTGTGGGTCCCTATAATTGCACCAGTGGTGGTACCCCCCTATATATATATATATATATATATATATATATATATATATATATATATATATATATATATATATATATATATATATATATATATATATATATATATATATATGGCAAGTTTTATATATAAATATATATGGCAAGTATATTATATATATATATATATATATATATATATATATATATATATATATATATATATATATATATATATATATATATATATATATATATATATATATATATATAAGGTACAGACCTGATATGCCATCGTAGGTCCACCATTCGTCCCAGTTGGCACGCAACCCTGTAAAGAATAATAACAGAGTTGGTTAGGTTAGGTTAGGTTAATTTTCACCAAACAATCCACTAATAATGTCCAACAAGAGTCTCCACTACATATTGGTTTAAAGTGTTTCGGGAATATTGCCATAAAGTGTACATAGGATCAGCAGGTCAACTAAATCTTAACTGTCTTCACAGATACAAAAAAATAAGAATTATAAAGAACATCTTATAACTTGAAGTTCATGCCTCACAAGGTAAGATAACTGGTCGAAAATAAACTTGTAATTATTATTTTGTAAAACAAAAAATAATTGCTGCAAGACATTGCTAAACCGGAGTCATTAAAGATTAAAGTTGATTCCGAGTAATGAGCGCACAACCTAACAAGGCTTGGGTGGGATCAAGGTCCCCCTTGATCCCACAGCAACGCCTAAAATCCCACAGACGATCATCTCTTAAAAATACACCCAAAATACCGTAATGACGCGAGAAACAACTGCGGCAGATGACATAATCCGCCCTAATGGCTGGCCCCTTAATTGGTTTGTACAGCTGGTTAGTTACCGCGGAGTAATCCATTGTGTAGACTTAGGGTAACCTCGTTACGGCCTATTTACTCCTTCCCCCTGCCTCCCCTTGTTACCTACCAGCCCTTTCCCCTCCCCTCCGTGTCCCTTCAGCCCCCTCCAGCTCCCTCCGTGTCCCTTCAGCCCCCTCCAGCTCCCTCTGTGTCCCTTCAGTCTCCTCCAGCCCCCTCCGTGTCCCTTCAGCCCCTTCCAGCTCCCTCCGTGTCCCTTCAGTCTCCTCCAGCTCCCTCCGTGTCCCTTCAGTCTCCTCCAGCTCCCTCCGTGTCCCTTCAGTCCCCCCCAGCTCCCTCCGTGTCCCTTCAGCCCCCTCCAGCCACCTCCGTGTCCCTTCAGCCCCCTCCAGCCCCCTCCGTGTCCCTTCAGTCTCCTCCAGCTCCCTCCGTGTCCCTTCAGCCCCCTCCAGCCCCCTCCGTGTCCCTTCAGTCTCCTCCAGCCACACACCTTCCGTAATTACCGCACCTCACACCTGGGCAATGTCTGACTGCACAAACACTCCAAGCAACTCTGGGGTATTTGACAATTACCGAGTCCTCCCCCCCCCCTCCCCACACCCCCTCTCACCCCTTACCCCACTCCCCCTACCGCACTCCCCCCCTACCCATCAACCTCTTCCCCCACACCTCCTACAGCACTCCCCTCATCCCTACCCCCACTAAAAAGAAGTTGCGAAGTGAGGTTTGATGAGGTGCTGTGAGAGGCGGACCTCTCATTGATGGGGGGGGGGTTCCTCATGGTTTTGGGTTTCCTGATAGCGATTGGTTCCTTTTTGTGGTAGGTTCCTCAGGGGTGAGTTCCTTATAGTGGCGAGTTCCATATAGTAGCACCTTCCTCACGAAGGTTCCTTACAGTAGCACCTTCCTCACGAAGGTTCCTTACAGTAGCACCTTCCTCACGAAGGTTCCTTACAGTAGCACCTTCCTCACGAAGGTTCCTTACAGTAGCATCTTCCTTACGAAGGTTCCTTACAGTAGCACCTTCCTCACGAAGGTTCCTTACAGTAGCATCTTCCTTACGAAGGTTCCTTACAGTAGCACCTTCCTCACGAAGGTTCCTTACAGTAGCACCTTCCTCACGAAGGTTCCTTACAGTAGCACCTTCCTTACGAAAGTTCCTTACAGTAGCACCTTCCTTACGAAGGTTCCTTACAGTAGCACCTTCTTTACGAAGGTTCCTTACAGTAGCACCTTCCTCACGAAGGTTCCTTACAGTAACACCTTCCTCACGAAGGTTCCTTACAGTAGCACCTTCCTCACGAAGGTTCCTTACAGTAGCACCTTCCTCACGAAGGTTCCTTACAGTAACACCTTCCTCCCGAAGGTTCCTGACAGTAGCACCTTCCCTACGAAGGTTCCTTACAGTAGCACCTTCCTCACGAAGGTTCCTGACAGTAGCACCTTCCTCACGAAGGTTCCTGACAGTAGCACCTTCCCTACGAAGGTTCCTCATGGTGTTGGGTTCCTCATAGGTATTGCCTGAAGCAGCTTTGTGTTGGCCAAGCACTATAGCAGACTGGCGCGTCCTTCAGAGGACGTCGATGGGAACACTGCTTGTTAGGAGCAAGTGTCAACAAGCCATTATGGTGCAGGTAAACAGTCATTAAAAGCCCTCCCTCCCCCTGCACTCCCCAACCCCCCCTCCCTAAACCCCCTCTTGAGAAGGGTTCAAGGCATTGTCTCTTCCCTTCACCAGCCTCATTAGCCCGAAGGGAAGGTATTTATAGGGCGTCTCCGGAGCCATCTCCTGGCATCACCTTATTAACTCGCCCTCATCAATTAGTGGAAATTATCTTAATAGTTTCAAAACACTGGGTGTAAGTGACGTACTTGATGGATATATGATACATACATACCGATACATACAGATGTATACATACTGATATTCATACATACAGATATAAACAGATTTAGATATAAGCAATATTGTACTTTTGTTTAACTATTAAATTGACTGTGTGGTTGTGTCAATATACAAGTACACTAGCGGGCCAGAGGAACACTGACACCGAGGCCAGACTCTACATCACCAAACTATTTCAAACGTCATTAACAAATCCAGCTAATCATAAACACTCTTCCATATAAACAAGCAAACAAACTCAAGTCAATTAACATCCACTTAACAGCACATTTGCTCTCCCCCTCTCCCCCCTTTCCACCTTCCCCTTCCCCACTCTCGCCATCCCCCCTACCCCCTCCCCTGCTCTCTATCCCCTTCCCCATATCCCTCCCCCTCTCTCTGTCCCTTTCCCATCACCCGTTCCCCGCTCTCCCCTTGTCCCTCTTGCCTCCTCCCAATCTCTCCTTTCCCCCTGCACCTCTCCCCTTCCCCCTTTTTCCCTTCCTCCCTGCACATCTCCCGCTCTCCCCTACACCATTCTCCCCCTCCCCCCGCCCCCCATTGTCTCACCAACATGCAGGTGGTTGGCCGTCCACTGTGCGTCTTGGGGTCTCCTGACGACGTTGCCTACACATTTAGCTGCGGAGTACGGGGCCCCGAGACCGGGGGGCCGTAACGGCGCGAGATTCGTGCAGTTACCGAGGAAGTTTGCCCTCAAGTGTGACCTTAAGTGCGGGCATTATCAGGTTAAGCGACGTCTAGGGAAGCGGGCCGGGCTCTCCACTACCAGCTCAGGAACCAACACTATATTTTCTTCCTTTGTACAATTCGAATTACAGATTCTCGTAAACGTGCATATTTGGCGTTTGTAAACGTTCCCGTTAATTTGTCGAACGCCGACTTGCCTTCATGCAGGTCGGCGTTCAATCCCCAACCATCCACAAATGGTTGGGGCACCCTTTCTTTCCCCCGTCCCATCCCAAATCCTTATCCTGACCCCTTCAAAGTGCTATATTGTCGTAATGGCTTTGCGTTTTCCCTTGATAATTCCCCTTTTCCTTCCTGTTTTAAATTGTTGTAAACGTTCCTGCTTGATTGTCATAAATCTTCCTTTTTAATTGTCGTTAACGTTCCTGTTTGCTTGTCGAAAACGGTCCTATTTAACTATTCCAAACGTTCCACTTAAATTGTCGTAAATGTCCCAATTTACTATTAAATGTCCCTATGTATTTGTCGCCAAAATTCCTATTTAATTCTTGAAAACGTTTTTGTTGAATTCTTGTATACGTTCACGAATAATTTTTTCCGTTAACGTTCGCGATTAATTCTTATGAAGTTTCAATTCAGTTGTGTGAACATTCCAATTTAAATCTTGTTCATGTTTGTTAAATTCAAGTAAATGATCCTCTGTCTGTCCTGCAAACTTTTATGCTTAAATATTGCCAACACTTATATTTGATGGTGTTAAACATTCTTGAAAAATCTTGTTAACGTTTCTGAATATTCTATTAAACGTTTCTAAATATTCTAGTAAACTTTCCTGAATATTCTTATTCTTCCCAGTTCCTTCAGAACAGGGAAGAATAAGAAGGTGGTAACTAGGCAATTTGCAGAATTGCCCAATTAGCATATGCAAGTCCAAAAAAGGTGCAACATAGCATAGCCTTACAGGTAAGTCCATTGGATTATTTTAATACTTGACCTTCGCGCCCTGCAAACACACAATGTAACGATCCCTATGATTCCCTTGTTACAACTTGTAATAAAATTGTTACATCTTGTGTTAACGTTATTATGACGCATTAGAACGTTGCTTCAACGTGCTATATTGGTTGTTACAATTGCTAGAAGATGTTAAAACTTGTTCGAACGTTGTAGCAACGTTCGAAGTTCCGTCGTGTGTTTAGCTGGGATGAGAACCGGTGCTACGTCCTAAGCATGCCACCCATGCACACCGGTAACTCCCCAAAAATAGAGCCACGAAGATAACCAATATAGTAGGGAGGAAAAGAAGCATCAACCCACAATACAAGAGCAGAAGCATTAGGATAACCACTGAAAGGGCTCAAGTGACATTAGAAGACATACCCACGCAAGTGGTCCTATCCAGCACCAAGCCTCGGTGGGAATATTAAAACATATATGAAAACGATAAGGCTAAGTATCATAGGTCTAGTTGTGTTCTTAGCCAGCAGGTAATATTTGTTTCCTTGAGGCAGCTGATCGTAATGTTTATCACCCAAGGTAGCTGGAAATATTTACAACGTTATGCAGGTGGTCAAATGTGTGCCCTCTCAGGCAGCTGGTAATATGTGTGCCCTCTCAGGCAGCTGGTAATATGTGTGCCCTCTCAGGCAGCTGGTAATATGTGTGCCCTCTCAGGCAGCTGGTAATATGTGTGCCCTCTCAGGCAGCTGGTAATATTAAACAAATCCAGGAGTGAGAAACAATGCAGGAGGTCCCTGAGGAGCTGTAGGCGAGTCCCAAGGTACGTCCCAGCTAAAGTGGGAGCTGGGAGGGAGAGAGAGAGAGAGAGAGAGAGAGAGAGAGAGAGAGAGAGAGAGAGAGAGAGAGAGAGAGAGAGAGAGAGAGAGAG